AAAAGAAACTCCGGTTAAGTTAACCGTGGTTAGGTTAACTCAGATCGAGTGAACCCGAGTTTCTAACCAAGGTTAGAGAGCTTAGGATACCAAGATGGCAAGATCTACACATGACCAAAAGTGTTGGTAAAGTTTTCTCATGATGGTAATTCTTTTTCCAGAGCTAGTACTCTTGTATTCAGACCAATATTACTTGAATAGCTTGTATGTCATGTAGTATAATTGAGTATTTATCTGGGATTAATAAATTTGGCTCTGGAGTTATAAGTTAACGATAACAACAATTTCCCACCCTAAAGGTTATAATGATGGCAAATTCTACTGTTAAAAGTAGAAACCGTGACACTTGCAACAACCATCATATGCAAACAGTTAAAATTGCTTTGACCAAACCATAATGGAAAATATCATAAAAAATTATTTTAAATCGTTTCAACACAAAAAGGTAATGTTATTTTTTTATTTGTTCACTAATAAATAGATTTATTCTAGTTTTATATTGTAGTCTTTAGATGATCAGATAGGTTAAATTAAAATGAGTCAAAGGGTTACCACTTACAGATCGTCCCTATTGCATTCACAATCATATTTGCTCGTGAATGTCTTTATTTAAAAACATATAATACTATAATAAAAATATAAATTTGTAATTGCATTTAATAAATTAATATCTCATAAAAAATATATAAACATACGAAAAAACATTTGTTGATTATCAGGACCTATTTAATATACTAAAAAACTACATGTGTGACCCCTTATCCAACATGGTTTGTTTATTTTACAGTTTCTAGAAAAACATAATTATTATATTTTTTCAAAGATATTTTAGTATTATCAGTTAACAAATAATAAAGAAAACCGTAAATTTGGTATATATGTGTAAACTGGGGTTCAAATCTATAAATTATAAATTTTGCATAAAATATTTATATAGGCATGTTTGGTTGTGATTTTGGTTTATGCATAACTTTCTGTTAATTTTAGTCGTTAGCTTAAACATGAGCCCTTCAGATGAGGACACTATGCCTTTTTACCTCTCCTACTCTATATAAAACATTTACTTTAATTGCATCTTTATTTTTGTTTTATTATATCCCATAGAGACTATGGTTTTGTATTTTTATGGTAGATTTATAGCAACTCGTACTATAGCTATCTATTAAAGGTAATTTATTCAGAAACATCAATAGAGATCGTTTGATCAAGGTGAAGAGGGAATCATTGAACTTTAAATTGTGGCTCATTCTTAGTTGGGTTTTGTTTCTACTACTTGTCTTAGGTTAGAATAAGTGGCAAATGTTATTGGGATTTTAGACTTTAGGTTATAAGGTATGTTTTTTTTGGGGGATTCTAAATCATTGGCTTTTTATTGCAAATGTGCCATATAGGCATATGTAAAGGGCATTGTTTGTGTTAACAAGTAATGAAACGAAAGTTGTATGTTGACGAAAACTTATATTCCTTATGCATTATGTGATACTTTTAACATAATGGTCGATAACTTTAAATATTGCGACAAAATCACCATAATAAACTAATAAGACAACTCGTTTATTGTGTAAGAGTTGGTACATCATATCATTATCATCCTCTACTTCATGTCAACCTTCAAGAAGAATAGTTTGATCAAACTTTGTAATGATCACATGATAAGATTTATTAGGAGACATGAAATAGGTTATCCCATGTTGTAACATCCGTTATTCTAGGTATAAGTGCTTTTGCATTGACATCCACAACAAGATTTAGGGTTTTCTTCGAACCGTGGTGCGATATTTTTTTGTAGCGCGCGAGACACATCATTAAGTGGCAGAAAGATCAGGTATGGACAGTGATGCGATGATGGTAGGGCTCAAAACCCTATATCTCGATCCTTGAGCCCTATTTAAGAGTGCTAACTTTTAGGTTCTGTGGCACCTTTCAGCCACCATCTCCAGAGAGCAAACCCTAGCGCCCTTATATGTTTTTAGCACTTTTGTACGTGTTTGGAGCTTTTTGGTGATGTTTCTTGGGTAAAGAAGTTGGTGGAAAATTGTCCCTATATTCACCTCCTCTCCTAAGGAATTTGGTGAACTTACCTACATGATGCAATTCCATGGAAAACTTGGTAGGATGATCATCTATCAAGAACAAGAAGAAAATAGTTTCAAAAACTTGCTATATATGTTACTTTGTAACCTAATAAATCATGAATATATATATATATAAAAGACATTACCATATATGTTCTCAGCCTCGATGTACTGATTCATGTTAGCATACAACTTTTCTTGAATTTACCATTAAGGAACATGTTAGGTATTCTTAATCAAACAACCCTAACTAAATTATATATTAAACCGAATATTACATTTATTTCTAAATTATATACTATTATATTTCTTATTTAATTGATAATATTTTTTTTGAAAATTTTGTAATTTTAATAAATGTAATAACGTTTCTAATGAAACACATAAATATTTTGAAACAGAATGAACTAAATTTATAATAGTATGAATGAATATTGTGCGGATGTGTGTGTGTGTGTGTGTATATATATATATATATATAGGTTAAATTGTGGATAACATTTATTGTGCGGATGTATGTGCATGATATTGTTCTATGAAAATGACTAAAAGAATAGGTTGTTTGGTAATGTAAATACATTCAACCTCACATAAATATCATGATTATCATGCATTATCACTAATTATTATTCATTTTTATTTTCACACATCGTTTTTCACTCATTCGCATTCTTACAGAATACGATTATCAAGAACACATTATGACAAAATGAAAATCACATATATATATATATATATATATAGGTTAAATTGTGGATAATATTTATTGTGCGGATGTCTATGGATGGTGTTGTTCTATGAAAATGACTAAAAGAATAGGTTGTTTGGTAATGTAAATACGTCCAACCTCACATAAATATCATCATTATCATGCATTATCACTAATTCTTATTCATTTTTGTTTACACACATCGTTTTTCACTCATTCTTATTCTTACAGAATACGATTATCAAGAACGCATTCTGATAAAATGAAAATCATAAAAAATAGCATTATCCACACATCTGCACAATAAATGTTCATCCATATATGAACGTAACATATCTCTTTCTCTTTTTCTCTCTCTCTCTCTCTATATATATATATATATATATATATATATATATATATATATAGGTTAAATTGTGGATAATATTTATTGTGTGGATGTCTATGGATGGTGTTGTTCTATGAAAATGACTAAAAGCATAGATTGTTTGGTAATGTAAATACGTCCAACCTCACATAAATATCATCATTATCATGCATTATCACTAATTCTTATTCATTTTTGTTTACACACATCGTTTTTCACTCATTCTTATTCTTACAGAATACGATTATCAAGAACGCATTCTGACAAAATGAAAAAAAAAAAAAATAGCATTATCCACACATCTGCACAATAAATGTTCATCCATATATGAACGTAACATATCTCTTTCTCTCTCTCTCTCTCTCTCTCTCTCTATATATATATATATATATATATATATATATATATATATATATTGTCACTTAAGTGCTTTTTGATATTTAAAATATACCATTATGACCTCCAATATCTGATCATAATAATATATTTTGAAAACTATAAATAAGTTCAATGGTTAGACGAAAAAAAAAAGTAAAATAAAATAAAATTAATAATAATAGATGACCACATATATACATATAACTAAGTTTATCTCTAAATAAAATATCTAAAAGTGTTGATCAAATTATTAGTTAGTATTTAACTAAATAATACTTGGATGATTTGTGTTTCAGAGTATTTATAATTGGAATGCTTTTTATTAAGTTGCTTCCAGCCAAATTAACTTGAGAGTATTTATAACTGGAATTCCTAAAATAGTTTTACGATACTTTATTTGAATTTGACAAACTTATTTGACTTGCTACTAAACTCCTAATATGAATGCTCTAATTAGTTCAAACACATTTTAGGTATAAAACCAAAAATTCAAGGTCAAGCTTTTTGAATGTATTATCGCAAATGGGAAAGAAAGATATCTATATAAAATGTTTATTTGAAAATATTATATTTAATAGTAAACATCTATAGCAAAAATAATAATTCCCATTTATGTATACACTTATATATTCAAAATATACTATTATGATATATTTTGAACACCATAGCTTATAAAACCTAGAAAATAAACTTAGATTTCTAAATATATACACCAAAACAAAGTTCGTTCCGCTGTCGTTGTCCCAAATAAATATGTAATTTTTTTACATGATACAATCATACCAATTATCAGAAACTACAAGTACGAAGGACAAAACAAAGGGCGTGATGGCTAATAATTGAGACTGTGGGGCATAATTTAGACAATTTCTGACTTAAGAGGGGTACACTTCGTAAAAAGGTGATTGATTTGAACAAAAAGTCGAGTGGTGATAAAGGTGGTGACGTGTCATCCACTCACGTGCCTCTCACATCCAAACCCACTTTTCCTCAGTAATCTAACTTTCTTGTCCCATTGTCACCATAAAGCTGCAAGTTTTTGAGGAATAGATCCAAATGCAACCCCCAACTTTCAAAAATTACAATTCCCACCCCGAAATTTATGCTTAATCCAGCTGGCCAAGAATAGCTAAATCGAACAAATAAAAGATTCGCTGAAAATTCACGAGTCTTTTTCCCATCGACACGATAAAGCTGCAAGCTTTGAGAGTTTGGTCAAACTGCACCTTCATCTCTCAAGAATTGCAATTCACACCCTTAAATTTATGTATATGTAACTAATAGCTAAACCCATTTCATCCATTCGAATTACAAACCGCACAAAGATCAACTAAAAACGTACAAGAAGCTTTTTCCCATTCACACCATAAACTATAAAGATTTGATCATATGCACCTTTAACTTTCAAGATTTGCAATTCAAACCCCTAACTTTCTGTTTTAATAACTAATACCTAAACCAATTCATCCATTTAACTTACAAACTTTCCAATAACAGCAAATACAACAAATAGAAGATTCACTGAAAACTTACAACAGGCTGTTTCTTTCACACTTATGAGAAACTTTGCCACTTTACCTTCAAACCCCACAAAAAAAAAAAAAACCCAAAACTTCACCCTAAAAGATGGATCCAACAAACAAAAGTAAAAAAAAAATTATATAATACAAAGGGTAGGGGATGAGGGGGTCAAGGGCAATTTAGGTTTTTACCAGGGCCTCCATAGTAAAAGTAGTGACCCCAATCACTATTACTTCCCGTTTGAACATCATAACAATTAGATTGTTCGGTGAATGTGCCAAGATTTTTAGGAGTTTTGAGATTATTTTCTTTATCAACAACTTGAATGTTTCTGAAATAACTCGATTTCCCAAACCCTTCTTCGGGAAAACGCCCGCTGCCCATTTGTGTTGATGTGTGGTGCCCGTTTGGCTCTGAGTTGACCACTTCACCACCCCATTCAATCATGGAAGCACTGTCTGCTAAATATGAGAACAAGAACGATGGCCAATACCCTAACACGTATCCATTCCCAAATTGCATCCACCAATTTCCCTCCTTTTGATCCTGAAATCAAGAATCATACTAATCGTTACGCAAAGAATCAAGAAAGAGAGCCAAAATACTAATCTTTATGCATAGGGTACAATCTTTATGTAATGAATCAACAAAGTACTAATCTTTATGCGTAGGGTAAAACCCATAAGTTTTAATCTTTATGCCAAGAATCAAAAAAGAAAGCCAGAGTACTAACATAGGGTACGAGTCTTTATGAAAAGAATCAAGAGAAAAAAAAGTAAGTACTAATCTTTATGCATAGGGTAAAACCCATAAGTTCTAATCTTTATGCAAAGAATCAAGAAAAAAACCAAAGTACTAATGCAAAGAATCAAGAAAAAAACCAAAGTACTAATCTTTATGCATAGGGTACAACCCATAAGTTCTAATCTTTATACAAAGAATCAAGAAAAAAAAACCCAAGTAGTAATCTTTATGCATAGGGTACCAACCCATAAGAAAACCCATACGTTCTAATCTTTTAATTCTTTATGCAATGAATTGAGAAAGAAAGCCAAGGTACTAATATTTATGCATAGGGTACAACCCAAAAGATGATTTTGAGTGGGTGGAGTAGATATACTGTCATAAAGATGGCATCACATAGGTTGGTGGCAAACAAAAAAGGAAAGATTCTTGTTTTATCTTATGTATATTTACTTCAATGTTCAAGAACCAACATCAATGAATTATACAAATAGTTGAAGTTCCCATCTTTATGCAAATAATCAATAAAGTACTAATCTTTATGCATATGGTACAACCCTATACGGTGATGGCAATTGGCAAACAAAAAATTGATAGAGATTCTTGATTTTTTCTATGCATATAGACTTCAATGTGAGCCACCATCAATGAATCATACAAATCGATAAAACTTTTCATATTTATGCAACGAATCAAGAAAAAAAGGTAAGAGTACTAATCTTTATGCATGATACAACGTTCATAAAGATGGCATCACATAGGTTGGTGGCAATTGGCAAACAAAAAGAATCATAAAGATTCTTGAATTTTTTAAATGTTTATATTCTTCATGTTCAAAAACCACTACCTACATAATAATTGTATATATATGGCATCAACTTTATTCAATAAAGAAAGAATAGTATAAAGGGTGTTACTTTTTCTTGATGGCTGACTAAAAAGGAGCATTTAAACAACTTTGAATAATGCTTAAAAACTAAAATCAACCCAAGTGAGGTTTTTCCCACTAGAAAGCTTATATCGAATATATATATAAAAAAATAAATAATAATAATAATAATATTAAATCCCATTTGTTAACTGAAATTAGAACTCACCTTCCATACAAGGATACTAATATCATATTGTGAATTTCTAAATCCAGAAACAGGAGATATGCTTGCACCCATTGCTATGTTACTGTTGATTTGAATAAATCCTGAGCATAATAAATTGTAGCAACCAGTAGCTTGATATGCGTCACTCTACAAAAAGATTAAAAGAAAAAAAAAAAAAAAAAAAATCATGTAATGTAGGTACAACTTCTAGTGCATGAGGTACAAGTATTGTAGTTGTACTTACAGTCCAGTATGTGAATAGTCTTGTGTTGTTATCTCCATAAAGATCTGGACTTACCTGAAAATAATCAGAAATTTATTTATTAAAATGGACTTTGAATAATGGAGAAGAATATTATCATTTTCATAATCAAGATTCAAGAATTATTAATATTATTTATATTTTTATACCTGCCATCCTGCTTCAATGCTGTTAAGATCTTGACCAAAAGAGCCACCTAAAATCCAAATTTGTGACAAACTGAATTCATTTGATTGTTGTATTTTTGGTTCCCAAACGTTCATTGTTGCTTTTGCTCCATAATATTTGTCTCCTTCCACATAAGCTATTGCATGCTATAAAAGAATGAACCAAAATTGGAGTTTAGTAAATTGAGAACATGAAAAATTAGTAAATTACTCATTTGCCCTTTTGTTTTTAAATGAAGGGTACTAAAATTTAAGGGAAAAAGCCATCAATCAAGAACATGGTGGGGTCATTCTCATTGTCTCCTTAATTATGATGACAAATTATGAAATGAAGGCTTTTTTTTTATACATGGATGGTGAAAAACATAAGTAAATATGTAATAATCAAACTAATTGAATCTTGATATTGAAACACTCGTACACTTAAAAGAAAGTGCATTTAGACATGGGGTTTTATAGAAAAGCATGTATATAATTATATATACCACTTTATTTTGTCAAAAAGATGGGAAATTATGGATTTTTCTTTTTGTTTCTTCCAACTTCTCATTACCCCTTTATTTTGCCACAATGATGTCAATTATGAAATGAATTCTTTTTATCTATCTACTTATGCCTCAAATCATATTTAATTATTAAACTAATGAAGGATAAATCTTATCTTCAAAATTGCAAGATTTAGCTCAAAAAGAAAGTTAATTTAGACATGGGTTTAAAAAAAGAAAAGTTCATTTACCACTTTAGTTTGCAACAGATTTAAAAGAAACATGGAGGTTTAAAGAAAAGCATTACCCTTTTATTTTGTTAAAAAGATAGAAATTTATGGTTTTTTTTTCTTTTTGTTTCTTCCACCATGTCAGTTGACGTTTTCATTAACTCTTTATTTTGTCACTTGATGCAAAATTATGACTCCAATTACTTTCACTACCCATTTATACCCAAAATGATATGTAATTATCAAACTAAAGGAGAAACCTAATCTTCAAAATTCAAGATTTAACTCAAAAAGAAAGTTATTTAGACATGGGTTTCAAAACAAAAGCTAATTTACTTCTGTATTTTGTCATATATATATATAGGATAATTAAAAAAAAACTTTTTTAATACCATTTTTGCCCTTGCTCACCTGATGACCACTTTCGTTATCAAGACCAAGATCTGCGGATTTAGGGAGATTTCGAGGCTTTGGGATGCTTTTATGCTGTTTCTTCCCATATCTTTTAACAGAACTCGCTCTCATAACATCGTCTTCTTTTGTTCTTCTTATGGGTATTGTGCCTTCATCGCACATGCCATTCACGTGCCACAACTGATGAATTGGGGTCTCTCTTTGTTTAGACTCGGTGTTCATCTTGTTCTCATCATAAAGCCCTTCTGGATGATAATTGGGTCTCATCTAAATAAACCCAAAAGAAAAACACAAACAACAAAAATTAAAGTTCAAATCTTTAAAAGAAATAAAGAATGGTTCAAGAAATCTTGAATGTGTTAAAAGAAACCTGGATTTTGTGGTCTTTGAGGAATGGATGATCAAAAGCTGGCTGATGAGAGATGGGTACACAATCGATAGTATCCCCATCTGGGCTCTGTTTAAATCATGCAAATAATCATAAAGTTAATTGTTCATCAGTAATAATTTTACATTTTAGAACCGAAATTACCTAATTTTAGGTCAAGAAACCCATCATTTGAGAAAAAGAAAGGAAAAAAATCAGCACATGGTGCATTTTTCAAGTTGAAAAAGCAAAACTTGGCTATTTCTTTTGAAAAAATAGTTTTTTTTTTCTGCATTTTGCAGGAAAGATTTCATACGAACACAAGATAATAAATATTGAATAAGAAAATGAAGAATGGGAGTTTAAATACCTGAATGGTTTTGACTGGGGGTTTGTTGAGGCGTTTTAAGTGTTTATGAACTTTAAGATTCTGACTGGATGTTGGTGGCTGCCTAGCGGCGCAAGATAGCGAGGCCAGATCCAGGAAGACGAAGAAGATGAACAGGAAAACTCCCCTAAAACCTACTCTCTTCCTTCTTGTGTTAACGTGCGCGGCTGCCATTGTCGAGAGATGGAAAAGATGAACTCCGAAAGCAGAAATCAAATGAAAGCTTTGTTTCCTCCTCCCAACTACACTCTCCGACTGATGTTAACCGCCACCATGAGTGATGATTTGAGCAGCACCAAGGAAAAGACGACAGACACAGTCACTCTGCTGCTTATCGTGCGCACCCTCAACGCTTCAAGACTTGGAAGTGTCCTCTCTCTCTCTCTCTCTCTCTCTCTCTCCTGACAATTGAATTTCTGGGTTTATTTATGCATTAGGAACACGAGGTGCGAAAGATAAACCCGAAAAACAGAAGGGTGCCAAGTGGGGGTACGACTGAGTGACTGGGTGGTGAAAATGGGTGGGTATAAAGGAGTAATTTTATTAATTTTGTCTTAAAATTTGAATATTTTCATTCAGAAAAATTATGTTATTATATTAAGATTATTATAGCCCCAAGGCAAACACCCAATGCTTTTGGTTATTTTAGAACACCTAATAAACAAATGATTCACTTTGGTTCCCTCTAAACAATTTCGAACTTCTATTTACTTTTCATAAATCTCTTGTTTAAAACTCGTTTGGTCCCTTATAACTACATATTTTGTTTAGCTATTAAAGTTTGTTTCGTGTATAACAATGGAATGACAAAAGACCAAAATGGACGAAGAATGAAATCGACAAAGTAATAAAATGGTTCGTTACATTTGATTGTCGTGTTTTGTACTATTTGGAATGAAATTAACCATTAAACTAAAAACACTCTCTAACACAAAATACATACAAACTAGTAAATACAAACTAGTAAAGAGGTTGGTGTGTTGTACGGATCAAAAAAAAATTGTTGATGTTTTGTAGGTTAGGTATATGAAAATCCAACATTTGTAGAGTCAAGAGGATAAGCTGCTGCAAGCAATGCACCTAATGGAACAACAAGAACTATCAATATCTAAGTTGGATTTGTCTGCATCCCCTCAAAAATAACATAAGTAAATCATCAATTCATCATAAATTGTAAAATAATAATAATAATAATAATAATTAATGGCAAATATGTTTATATATTCAGTACTAAGTGTGAGACCCATGTATTACATGGGTTTATTTAAAAAAAATATATGAAATTTTAACAATTTGAGAAGTTTGAATCTATAAGAAAAATAAGGAAAAATTTAAATTATTAAACTAATGAGACTTTAATACATTGTATACATTACATATATAAATCATTTTTAATAAATACCTTACATATATGTTACTTTACATATTAAATGTGAAATTTTAATTTAATAAAATGAAAATTACAATAAAATGACAAGTGGAAAATAGAAAATTCAAAAAATCTAGAAAATGACATGTGTCCAAAAGAAGGAGAAGATGACATGTGGCAAAAAACATTAATTTATTAAGGAGAATTTACTCGAGAGGAAAGTAATTTCAGTGATGAATTTGATGAGGTGTAAGGAAGTAAACCGCCAAAGTAAAATGTGCATCTAATTTGGAGTTTTTTGCTTCATAAACTTGTAAAGACATGATAATAGTAAAAAAAAATCTTTGTATATGGATGAAATTTCCATATTAGGCCCTATAACATTCGAATATATTCACCTATGGCCCAAATTAATTATTTTCTTTTCTCCTTAAGCCCTTCTCGAGCTTTTTTTTTTTTTAAAAAAAAGAGAGAAGAAATGGAAGAAAACTGATATAGGCTTGACAACACATAATTAACCTACATGTTTCAAGGTAATCACATACTTCTAGAAGCTATTATCCTCCATGAAATAATGTTTAATATCTCTCCTCCTTCCTCTCTTCTTATGGCCGAAAGATCCCACGCCCCTCCCCACTTCATCCCTTTCAATCTCCAAAATTCTCTCTAACTCTCAAAAGTTTCTCACCTTTTTCCTCTTCCAATTTCGTGTGTGCTTATGTGGGTGTCCAAGGATACTTCATCAAAATCCATTCATTTTTGGTAAGCTACTTCTACTCAAGAAGTTTAACTTCATATTTATGTTAAACTTATTACTCTTAATCACTCCATTTATGATTCTTGCTTCTTAAACCCTCCTAAAACTCGAAAATTCTTCAAGGAGCTCGCTACGCCGAAAACTAATCTAATATTCTCACCAAAAACCGATCCATCAAAGCAAGGTGAGTTCATACCCCTTGTTTTCGGTTTTATTATGTTTTGGGGGAGAATACAAGTTGCTTATATGATAGATCTATGTATTTGTGCATGTTTATGTGTGTTTTCTAAGTTATATGTTGTGATTATGTGAAGAAACTTCATACATCTCGAAAACTCTATCAAATCTTGACAATATTTGTAAACTAAAACACTTTTTGTAGCTTACCATAAAGATGAAAGTGTTAAACATGTTAAGGATGTTGAAAAACTAAACAAAATCTTGTAAAGGGACCATTTTTGACAAATAAACAAAAAGATGAAGCTTTTATGATACTTACGGTTTTCCAAGGTCCAAAGAGTCATTTATATATAAAAATGGGTCTTTATGATATTCACGGTTTTAAAAGGGCCAAAAGAGTAAATTTTTCACAAAATGGGCTTAAATTGGGCCTTTACGGTTTTATGGGCCAAAATTGGAAAAATTATGACTTTTGTGGATTAAATTGTCATTTTAAACAAACTTGAGCCAAAGATGTTGTTTTTCGGTTAAAAAGGGCTGAAAATGTCAATTTTATTAAATTGGACCGAAAATGTAAACTTTTATTAAATTGGGCCGAAAATGTCAATTTTCATGATATTGGCCCGAAAATGTTATTTTTAATAAAAGTGGGCTAAAAATGTCATTTTATTTGAAAAAGTAAATTACTGGAATCGTCCCTATGGTTTGATCAAAATTTCGCGTTTAGTCCCGAACTTTTCTTTTGCACTCGGATCGTCCCTGTGGTTTGATTTTGTTGTGTTATTCGTCCCTTACATACATAAAATTAGGGACCAAACGTGCAATTTTGACCAAACCATACGGATGAAAAACGCAACGAAATCAAACCATAAGGATGATCCGAGTGCAAAAAAAAAAATTATGGACTAAACGTGAAATTTTAACCAAACCATAGGGACGATTTTAGTAATTTACTTTATTTGAAATAATCCCATAAATGTAAACTTTTGGTCTTAAGGGACCTAAAGTGTCAATTTTACCAAAAGTGTGCCTAAATTGTAAATTTTCGGCTTAATAGGCCAAAAATGCCATCATTTCAAAAAGTGGGCTTTTATGTCATTTTGGAAAACAATCGAGCTAAAACAATGTAATAACAAACGAACAAAATACATCGATTACATGTTTATTGGGCCTAATACTTACATTACATGTTTATTGGGCCTAAGTGGCCCGTTTACATGCTTATTGGGGCTGGATTATACATTACACGTTTATTGGGCCTTAGTGGTCCATTTACATGTTTATTGGGCATGGATTATACATTAAATGTTTATTGGGCCTTAGTGGTCCAGTTACATGTTTATTGGGCGTGGAAATAACTTAGATGTTTAGTGGGCCTTAGTTGTCCTTCTGCATGTCTGTTGGGCCTCGTACATTGCTAGGCTTTTTCAAACATAAAACGTACACGAAAACATTATACACAACGTAATACAATGTCCGCGTAAACTCAGTTAAGAATCTAGTGAGACATGTCGGTTGACACATCTAGAGTACCCTGTAGTTATAACCAGAGTCTACTGGAGGGAGAGCGAGATTTTGTGTATATATCTATATAGTGTGACACCCCACACCTGAGTTGTTCGCTACAGTTAAACTAGGACAGTCTAGGGTTACAAACCTTACCTTAACCAAGTCGGCGCTAGAAAACGCCATGATAGGTGAATTTATCATTATCAAGTATGGTTATAACGTCTCACACAAAGATTAACTCCATCAAAAATTTACGGAATACATATAAAATCTGGTTGATACGAAAACATACACACACTGATACTCGGTCTTAGGGTTTCGAGACCACAACACTTTTATAAACAGAAAATATCGGATTTTCTGGGGAAACATACAGTTAAACAATACCTTCTACTTACAACAGAAAATACAAGATTTTTTTTTTCCGGATTACACTTTTATATACATCCTAAAAACAGAAATCACACATGCATTAATACTTGATTTTGATACATCACTTTCAAACCATTTTACAGAAAATATCTGATTTTTTGGTGTTTTACGAATAATACAAAACTTTTCATTCAAACATGCTTATGAACTCGCCAACATTATATATGTTGATATTTTCAAAATAACTTGTATTCTCAGGGGATCGTTAAGCGGAAATGTCAACAAGAACATATGGAATTTGTCGTATTTTGTTACCATCATACATTGAATATTTTGGCATGTATTTTATGATACTATACTTGATGTAAACTGTGCCAACCGAAAAACTTTTGGTCAAGTCAAAGTCGAGTCAAGGTCAACAAGTCAACTTGGTCAACTCAACTAGTGTTATTTATTAGGGATTTCTTTATGTTTATTAATGTACAACTATAAATCCTAATGCAAAGTAACACTTGAAAGTCCCAAATGTTCAAAATTTAACACCCTAATCTGGTCTAGGGAAGTAACAACTCTATAAAGTATTATTAAGTAGCCTTCGGGGTGTATAGCACTCAAAATGGGATGTAACTGAGTCTAAAGTCCTTATTCTACAAAGAAAAACATTAACAAGGGCTCCCGACAAATTCCCTCTCAATGTCTCCCACTATACCTCTCTCTCTCCCAAATTTCTTCAAGTATGCGAAATTTCTACCAAATCTCTCTAAGTATGTGAAATCTATCCCAAATCTCTCTAAGTACCTTCCTCAGTCGAAAACAACCCAAAAACAGGAGGAAAGAACCCAAAAGGACCCTCTTGGTCCTGAACTTCTTATCCGGATCCATCTTGGCCCTGAACCTCTTATCTGGAACCCTCTTAGTCCTAAACCTCTTGTCCGGAATGCCTTCTAAGGAGCCAAGAGGAAGCACACCTTCGGAACCTCCACCTTTGCTTCGGACTTCGCATCTCGGAAGCCTCCCATCTGGATAATTTCGCATGACTCGTGAAGGATGAGCTCCGAAAGATCTCGCCTCGCATCACTCCGAAAGGGCCAGCCGGGTTCACACCTCAGACCGAACCACTGACTTTGCCTCTTGACTTCGGAACCGAGGAAATGTTCCGGAAGATTGAGACTCAGCTTCAGAACTTCGCGTGTGACTCTGGAATTGCGAGATTTGGCTCCGAAACTCCTCTGTTTGCTTCGGAAATCCACCTATACTCCGGAATTTCACTGTGGACTCTGGAATTCACCTTTAAGCTTCGGATTTTTATCATTTTCAGACCATTTCATCATTTTAAGGCATTTTGACGTCGAGAATGCCTCCAAACTCATATTTTCATATCTTAGACCCCTTAAACCACTATTTTATGCCAAAATTAATTATGTTAAACATATTTATATAAAATAATACCCAAGATTTCAAGGAGATTTTAAGAAAATATAGAGGTTTCATTTTGTGATGTGATGTAAATCCTT